TTGTATGGATAGCTGTTTGAAAATGAACCCTGATGTGTAAGGTGTGAAAAAAGACTAACTTATGTCAAAAGTAGGCCAAAAAATAGTAAGTTTGTACCTCTAAAACAGATAAAAAATTCACAAGATATTTAAAAAAAGAATTATTATAAACAAACATAATACCAATATTAAATTCATTGAAAAAAAAAAGGGGGAAATAATGGGATTTCAAATCCAACCAAATCCTTTTCTTTAAGGGCGATGATGATGACTCACTAATCCCATCAGATATTCGCATATTCTGGAAGGAGACTGTATTTCACACTCTGGTTATAGTGACGTACAGCTCATACATTACTACGTACTTATCATCAGTTCATGGTGGCGGGCCAGACGAAAAAACATGAGGTTCAAATGTTTATTACAACTTTTGGACTATTTGATCTTGGCCCAACATAGGTTGTCCAGTACTTGTCCACATTGTGGTCCTGCTTTCTCTAATGCACACTTCATAAGCAAATATAACATATTATAAGACTCATGTAACCCAATTTTTCTACCTTAAGGCAAGGCATCGGTTGGATTATGCATCTTTATTTGGCAGCAGCAACTAGAGAAGCTCTGGCTCGTGTGAAAGCTGCAATCAGTGACCCGAGTTGCAACTTATCGTTACATGCCAAAGTCAATCTGTATCTGCATTCCCCAAAATCATAATGGAAAAGATAATAAATTCCCAACATAGTAGATAATAAGAAAACTATACTCGACGTTTAGCCTAACTACAGAAAGATTCTGGGTTACCATTTTTAACGTAAGCCATTGAGGTTTGTATTTATCTCACAAACGCTCTGCCTTCAGGGTGCACTTTTGCAATAAATACAATTTTGTCTGTGGGCATTTGTAATTTTGTAATTTGAAACAGACACAAAAGTCTTTCTGTAAATTTTCATTATAGTCTAAGGTTTATAGGGACTTCACACTAAAAAGACCTGACAAACATATACCAAATGATGGCAATTTTGAGCATGTATAGCTTTATTTCGCCCAACCAGGCTACCCTTTTTCGGTTTCTTTATGATATTATGATTAAAATTAATTAAGGTCATCTATATACATATAGGTTACTACGACTAGGGAGTGTAATATCAAGGCTCTCAAGTGTGAAGTTCACAAATAAATGAATTAGTTTCTAAATTTGAAGTTCAATTTTTTGGAGAAATAAAAGCAATTAAATAATTTTAGCCTTTGGAAGTACAAGCTCCTTGACCTGGAGGCCAGCTTGAGTCAGGGAGTGGGTTGGTCACATTAACATTGGCCTTAAGTAGAGTACTTGGCTTAATTGTATAGAATGAAAGAACGATACATACTCAATATCGGCCATATCATTAATGAGCTTAATGCGAACATCTGCTGGCATCTTGATCTTGAAAACAAACCTGATATCAGGTATATACAACAAATGAGTAAGAATGAAACTTCCAACTGGTAACAGAGAATAATATTTGCACATACATGGTTACTTCTCTCACAATATCAAGCAGAGCCAACCCTTTTCGGGTCTTCATCTCAGAGATTCCTGCATATCATGAATTTCAATGAAATGAAATAGATGAATATTAGAAAAGAGCAGTGTGTACAAAAGGTTCAACTATTGACATACTTTTACAGCTAGTGGCAAAAGGCTCGTTTAGGAGCCAATGGCAAATCTGCTCAATGTCTCTAGGCAAAGGATTTCCCGTGCACAAGTACACAGCTTCTTCTGTGATCTGCTGGGAAGCCATATGTGTCGACTGCACACAACCAAGAAAAAGGAAATCAAGCTACAGCTACATTGAGTATATTCAAAACAAAAGTAAAATAAAAAGAAATCATGCACAGATAACATTTATATGCAATGATTTGTATGTCCATGTTCCCCTCAGAAAAGATCCATTCATTTCGTTTCCAAATTTAACCTTTTATCGAGGATCAAGCTATACACTAAGCAGGTAAACCAAATTGAAAAACAAATATGCAGCAAAATGTGAACCTGTAAAATGTTGAGAGCCTTTCTCATGTCACCACTGCAGAGCCTTACAAGAGCTTTCATACCATTCTCAGGAACATCAAGCCTGAATATATAAAATATAAAGCAAACTGATATAAGCTAAAATTAAACAATGAACCCATATAACAACTTATGGTTGAAAGAAAACAAATAAAGAAATAAGGAGAAGAAAAAGAACATACACATACAAATAACTACAAACAAACATGAGGCATAACTTACGCTTCAGCTTTAATGACATGTTTAAGCCTCTCCATGACATGAACAAAGTCGAGAGGAGCAAATCGGAATCTTGTGCATCTCGACTGCAATGCTGGAATGATCTTGTTGACATTATTGCAGATAAGAGCAAATCTAGTGCTCTTTGTGTATTTCTCAATAACTGCAAAACAAGCACATGGATAAAAGTTATAGATTCAAAAAGATAAATAAATAAATAAAATTTGGTGGATAAAGCCGTAAGAGAAGTGAAAGGTTCTTGCCTCTACGCAAAGCAAATTGAGCATCCTTAGTCATGGCATCCGACTCATCCAATAGAACCAATTTCACGGAAGACTTTGCACTGCAAAAAGAGAACCTATGAAGATAAATTTCAAGAAAATCTGCTACCTCAGTCCTGCATAAAACCCTAAGCATTTTTGTATGATTTGGCCTTAGGGATAAACAAAGTACCCAAAAGAGAAGCTCTGAGTGCTCGCAAAGTCCTGAATTTGCTGTCTCACAACATCAATACCACGATCATCAGACGCGTTAAGCTCCAGGACCATGTTTTGCAGTTGGTTCCCATAAAGCTTACGAGCCAATGCAAGGACAGTTGATGTCTTCCCTGTCCCTGGTGGCCCGTACAGCAGCAAATGGGGTAATCTGTTTCCATTTGCTAACCTATCAACTGGTAAAAAAACATTAGAACCGCACACAGGCAAGTAGAAACACGACAGATAAAATTATGTGACTATAAGAGGTGCCAATTTTGAACTTCTGGAAAAATTAAGTCACCCATGGTTACAAAAGGCCAGAATCAGATATAAACATCAAATTATCTGAATAACAACCCCACAGATCATACCCAAAGCATCGGAGGGCCATGGCAATTAAGCCCACCAACTGTTTGCATAAATACGAAATAACCAAACAGTAACAAACACATTCCGGGAGGAGACAAAAAACTCTAGAATACTAAACTAACTCATCCGTAGTTACAAATAGCCAGAATCAGATATAAACATGAAATCATCTGCATAACAACTCCATAGGTCAAATTCAAAGCCTCTGAGGGCCATTGCAATTAAGCCTACCGACTGTTTGTATAAATGCCCAACACGACCAAAACAGTAATAAACTCAATCGAGGAGACAAAAAGAGGGTATTCTTACTGGTTTCAACAATGTCACGGTGCGCAGCGACGTCGTCTAGAGACTGAGGGCGGTACTTCTCGACCCAAGGGGTGGCCTTGCTGTCCGCCGGACCAGCTGAAACGACGACGTTTTTCCCCTTGCTGCTAGGGTTTGGGGACTGGCCGCTCTCGTCGTTCTCGCCGTCGATGTCCATTAGGGAGATCACTTCAGCCATTCCCCCGTGAAGTGCTAAACGACGGCGTTTGGAGGTGTTTTATCGGCGTCTGAAATCGCTGTGCGTGTGTGTGTGTGTGTGTGTGTGGAGGTGCCGTGCACTTTATACGGCTGGGGAAGATGGATTGCCTCTGGCAAGTAACGCTCCGGTTTCTGCAGTGAGGCTGTGAAATTAAAGGGTTTTGATTCTAAAAGTCAGTTGTTTTCTTTACTTTCGGTAAACGACTTTATAAGTCATTTTGCTAGAATTGGATGGAACCGGACGGAAAAGAACCACGGAAACGGCCCAACATTACCCATTGATGATGCTTGGCGCCAATATTACCTTTTATTTTTTGAATTAAATTGTTTGTTTAATTTGAAGACAAATTGTATAAATTAAATTATTAAACAAATATTGACTAATATAAAAAAAATATTATTTTAACATTAATTTTATGTATAATAGTTTAATATTTGACATATATTCTTACTAACACCTTTATTGTCAATCCAAAATCATGCAATGTTCTAAAAATCGAACTAGGCGTCGGCGTTATGGGCATGCTTGTTTACAAATAAATTCGCTCAAGTTTTTTCGAGCAACCAATGTTAGTTTTGAAGAAGTTTGATGGTTGATAGATGAATAGTGAATTAAAGTTGACGTGAAAGGTAATAATGATTGATTTGTATTGTTTAATTATATTAATAATATTGAAGATAGTGTGGTTGGATTAAAGTTGAGTTATATTTTTAGTATGAAATGAGTTATTTCATATACAAATACACCCTAAGCTGCAGCTGAGCGCCCCGATTTTCGTCTAGACGACCCTTCTAAACGCTCGAACAATTAGACACCATCTAGGTGGGCTAGGCAGCACCTAGGCAGTTGCGAAGTCACTCCTACACTGATTAGACGATCTAGACGGTTCAAGCGCCGTCTAGGCCCCCATATATTTTGTTTATTTTTTTTAATTTATTTTTCATACATAACAAAAATAGATTTTGAATTAGCAATTTTGATTGATGATCGAATTAGTTGTTGATTGGCTTAGTAATTTTTGCTAGTTGATAGAATTAACTGATAAGTACAATTGTGGCAAATAATTAGGTTATGTATGGTAAAATTATTTGATAAAGTAGTTGATAGCTGATAGTTGATAAGTTAGTTGTTAACTTAAGAGTATTTTGCAAGCACTTATAGTTTATTTGGTTGGTTTATAAGTTTTTCGTATTCAAATAGTTTGGTTTGGTAGAACAATGACCGCGCGTCGCAACGCGGCAAAATTAAAATTTATATTTTCCTCGACTAACCTCTACTAACTAGTAGTAGTGGTGAGCAAGGGTCGATCCCATGAGTAGTGTGAATCAAATCGTGAATTTTATAAAAAGCGATAAATGGGGGGGATTGGTTTAAAAACTAAACTTATTAAAAATCCTAACAAACAAAGGAAATAAAAATAAAATAGAATAAATAAAGAGAAGTTTCTAGTTCACGGTTCCGTCTACACCTCGACTGACTCGTCTAATCAATTCTGGTATCAAATCTCGCTATCTTATGAAACTACTAGCCCTAGGCAACGACACGGTCAGTTACCCGAATTTTTCCTTATTTTTAATTTAACAGCGAGACGCTCTACGATTAAACCTGACTTCTTGTACAGTCCAGAAAAACGTATTCAAGATTTAATACAATTAGCCGCTTTACGAATTAGAAAAATAGGCTAGACTAAGTAGTGAACTCAACCGCGTTCGCTCACTTAAATAGGCCGTGTTATCCCCGGTAGTTACCATCTTCCGGTTACCTCTTATGAATTAAACACAACAACAATTATGGATTGCATGTCTAATTCAGATGTAGATATGAAAAGCCTAATCTAGGTGATCAATCTAAACAAGACTAACACATCATGGTGAATTATTCAAAATAACACAAGCAATTCCAAAAAGATATTAAAATTATCAACCATATAAATCAATCAAAACATAGTCAATTGTAGGGTTCGACTTCCCCGGAACTAGAAATAAAAACTACTCTAACATAACAATAAAAATAAATAATAAAAGAGAAAAGAAAGAGAATAAAATTCTCCCTCGTGTGTGGGTGCGGCCTCCCTCCGCGATTGTTGGATTCCTCGCGTTTGATTCTCTGTTCTCTGCCTTCGCGTGAATACTTCTGATAGTGGCTGCTTGAATCCCACTATTGGCGTGAATGTCCCGCAATAAAAATCCCCAGCCAAATAAATAGTCTTTAAATTGAGTCCTGCCCTTTCAATGTTTCCAATTAAGTTAATTGCCCAAAGCTGTATATATGCTCCTGCGTGAATGTCCAATTCTCCCATGAAGTGAATGTCCAATTCTCCCATGAAGTTGGGCTGCATGTCCTCTCACCACAATTAATTCCTTTTTGACTTAGTCCTTCCTGACCCACTTTAGTTTTAATATTTGCAGCCCAATTATATTTATTCCTCTCAGCCCTCTTACATGAATTGCATAACTTGGTATATGCATGGGCTTCATGGGCTTTGTTGGATGTCTGAGTACAGGGTCTGTTGGGGTCAGTACGGGACACCCCCATATTCTGCCGGTTGGAACTTCCGTTTAATATCTCGCCGTCCATAAAAGTAGTCCAATAGTCTGAAAATAATGCACAAAAATATCATAGCACTCAAATCCATCTAATAAATAAATAAGCCGAAAAATATATAAGTGTGATAAAAATTAAGCATATAAAAATACGCTAATAAATATATAAAATACACACTTTTGTCGACTAATCAAACAAGTTTTTTTAAAAAGTTGAGTTTATCTCATAAGCTTCTTTTAGTAGCTTTTCAAATAAGTCTGTTGAAATATCTATTTCAGTTGCTTTATCATCTAATTACCAAACACTTTTATCATATAAGCAAGTTTTTTAACTATTAGCCATAAGCCATCAATTATAATTAATCTCGAAACTAACTTATCAACTATCAGTTAGGTTTATCAAGCATAGCCTAAGTGAATTTCGAGTTTATAGTTGATAACTTATGGCTAAAAAACTTGTGGATACGACAAAAATATTTGGTAAAATTATATGATAAGCAGTTGAAATAAAAATTTTAAATGAATTATTTAAAAAAGTACCCAAAGAAGCTTATGAGATAAACTCGAGCTATTTAAAAAAATTTGTCCTACCAAATCAAGTTTGTTTGAATACATATATAAATTTTATAAATTAAAACAAAATAAGTTATAACTTATGGTGCTCATCAAACAAACTCTTTTGAACTACCTATCAACTAATTTATCAGGTATCATTTATATTACTTTATCAAATCAACTTTGATCATTATATTTTAAATATTATTTTAACACAAACTCAAAATCTCATTCAAACCTAATTCAATTTACTTTTTCGAATTGCACTCTACTTATACAACAAATTAATCAAAACCAAAATAACTTAATATCCAATCACCCATAAGATTCCTATATCATACCCGCCTTTACCACAATCTCATTTTTCTATTCTTTTATTTTTATTTTTTTTCTTTGTGGGTTAATCCAATTTCATTCATCTCACTAGTTTATTATTAGTTATTAACCAAGTTTTCCACAGGAGTTTATTACACAGACTATTAGCAGTCCCAAGATTCCCATATACATCTCAAATGTCACACAGCACAATGTTTTAACCATACATCTTATTACATGGAACACAATCAGCTGGTTATTTATTTTTTCAATTAACTTATTGAAAATAATAGTAATTAAGTAACTAATCATGCTGAATATTCTACTTCAATATGCTGGATTATGATTAAAGATGGAGTTAAATAAATAAGCCGATTCATGCATTAAGACAAGTTAATGTGAAAAACTCGAGGAAAAAGCCAAACATATATATTATTTGGACTAGCAGGTCAAGTACCATGCCCTATTGCCCTTATTAATCTTTTGACTTAGGTGCATACAATAAGACGAAGAACAACTCCAAAACATTGTAATACATGAAAAAAGAAAAAAAAAAAAACAAAGTTTAAGATGTGCACTTTGCATTAGCCCATCCAACCTTCCCATTCTCGTTATCGTAGATCACCAGTTTATCCAGAAATGAAATGTCTGCAAATGAAATTGTTCTTCACAATCAAAATCAATAAAATAAAAAAAATCTTAATTCCAATTTCCTAATTTTCTATTCCATCTCGTGCTTCATTAGTTGGATGATGACACATATGCATGTATATGATATGATGATGTCATATTTGTACACGCAGGGCGGAGCCAGGATTCAAAATCTACTCGGGCTAAAGTTATTTTAACGAAAAGTTTTCATGTCATAAATTTTTAAAAGTTCTTGTATGTGACATCCTAATCGCTATCGAGTCGACTCGTATACTTTTTTTTTAACAAAAAAATTACATATTTATGTAATGAAATGTCCTACTTTATATATGTTGTTGTTTAGTGTATGACATGTCAGGTCGAAAGCATGTCAATTATTAAAAAAAATACGATTATCTAACTGTCTTAATGATAAATTATAATTATGACCATTTTAAAATACTAAATTAAACCTGAATCAACATTGAATAAAAATTAAATTGCTACTTAATAAACCGCTAATATTTAGTGTTGATTAGTTAGTGTAAAGTATACAAATTGAAAAGCGAATGAAATGAGTAAAGATTTATAGTGTAATTAATAAATAAAACAACAACATAAATAAAATATATAGTCAATAAATAAAACAACATTCAAACATAAATAAAATATATAATAAAATGTATAGTCAATAACTAAAACAACATTCAAACATAAATAAAATATATAGTTAGAATATTAGATATTGCATAATAAGATTGGAAAAGATTACATATATATAAAAGGTGAAGATAACTACAAAATTTAAAATAAGAGTAATGTTATTTAGCCAACTTGGATGACAACTTGGGTTACAATCCAAGTATAAATATATTATCAAAAAATTAAAAAATAATCAGTCTTATGGAAAATTTACCTCCAATCACATTCTGATTTGTTAAACCGATTTCAGCTCCATTCAAGATGCCTAAGCACACGTTTCCACTTGTCTGAATCAAAGAACAATATCAGTACTGAAAGTATGTTATAACAATTCAAAGTAAAAAACCAAAAAAAAGAAAAGAAAAGACGTCGAAAAAGAGAGTCAGTCTTACGGTGACAATAAGGTAAGACGATGGATCCATTTGAAACTTAACGTTGTTCGGGAAGCTTAAAATCAAAGGTTTAAAGTTGGCAGCCGCCTCCGTTACAGATTTGAAGGGTTTACCCGTTGATGATTTCCAGCAAACCGGAAGGGCTGCATCCTTTACCGGAGCTAAGGTTGGTTTTACCTTCAAGTTCCCGTTTATTTAGGGAAAAAGAGAAAAGCAATGGTTATTTACTTTCAAGATTGCAATTGGTTGTAAGCAAATATTCATCATTTTTGTTAAGCTATAATATAATTTATCTCATTCAAACAACAAATAAAAAAAAAATTGTAAACTTTAATTGTTACATTTATATTTATATGCTGTCTTTTTTCATNGGGAAAATTGCAGTTTTACTCCGCTAACTTAAAGTGTTTTTCATTTTTGTCCGATTGGAGTCCGAAATTGGTTCAATAACTCGTAAAAAGGGTTATCGGACCAATTTGGCTTATATTTAAGAGTTATTTGACTAATTCCGGACCATAGAACTATGGATTTTGGAGTTCGGGATCAAAATAGATCAAATTGGCTAAAATTGAATAGTTATTGGACCGATTTTAGATTCCAATAAGTCATTGGGCAAAAAATGAGAAACACCTATGTTAGTGGACCAAAAATTGAATTTTCTCAAAATTAGTATTCGACATGTGCATTTGCACATATATAAATAAAGTATTGTGAGTTATTTGTATGCATATAATGATTAGTGACTTTTCTTGCACTTTTTGGCAGGCCAAATTTACAATTAAAAGAGGTGGAATATTTATTTTTTTAATTGCGTTTATCATATTGGATGTAATGTATATTTGGTATGTATTTTTTTTTTGTGAATTATTTATTATTTATTTAAGAATTTCAAATACGTTTTTTATTTTCCAATAGAAGTTAATTTAAATGTAACCACAACAATAACATCTAAATAGTCAACACACTATATGGTCAGCTGTAAGTAAATCAGAAGTTTAAAATAATTTTTGTAATTTTGAAGTGATTAATGTGTTGATTATCTGATAATTAAATAAGAGGTTAAATAAATAAAAAGTAACGGTTTTTGTAGGGAAAAAATTATATTGCCACATAGGTATAATTTAATAAGTTTTATTAAATGTTCATGAGCCAGCAATCATATATATATATATATATATATATATATATATATATAGATAGATAGAATGTAACCACTATTATATATTTGTCTACCACATAAGTCGGTGGGCATATTAACATGTGCCCACCGTGGGCATGTGAGCATTTCCCTATACTAATATAATTTAGCGATCAATCTTGTCAAATTAATAATTTATTACTTTTTACATCACATTAAATTTAATCATTGTATTTTTTATCTCATATTCATTCATACTCTAAAATTTATCTCACCTCTTCAAAACAACTTTTTCCACTTTTTTTATGTAATCTAGATGACACAAATATTTTCGAAAAAATAAATAAATATAATCTTATATATATTCACTTGCACTCCATTTTGTTTTTTTTAAAAACCAATCTTAATTATTTACATGCAAGAGTCCATTAAGGCCACCATCAATTTGAAACTCACCAGAGAAACAAGAGCTTTGTAGGGTTTAGAAGTCAAGTAAGTGAAAGTACTTCCACTGTCAAAAACTATGTCAAGGCCATTCATATCATTAGAAGGTTGTCCACCAACCTGCATTAATCCTGCCTTTCCCAAATCGTAGTTGCCTCTGAAATTTTAGCATTTGATCATACATACACATACACACACACACATATATATATAAAAAAAAAAAAAAAAATTAGCCTTGAAATGACATTTTTACTCGGTAAAGTCGATGTTTTCATTTGGTTCGGTCACGTAAAACGCACACAAAGAACTTACGAATTGGTCGATACAGGCACCCATACGACCCCCTGAGTAGAAGGAAGCTCTCCCAACGAAAGGTAGCCACCACCATTAATACTACTAAAACAGTGGCCCACGATGTTTCGTGTGACGCCAAGTTTTCCCAGTTGGGTTAAAATGCCGGTCTTGCCTTTGCCGAGGCCGAGGATCCCGTCAGCGTTTGGTGGCGGATTCGACCCTGGCTGCTGGTTATAACCGCATCTACGAAAAAATCGGGACATAAATTAAAGAACATAGTAAATTCGTCTGAGTTTATCCCAAGACTAAAAACATTTCAATGGAGATCCAACAGTATAACATTTCATTGGAGTTATACTTTTCTTGGAATCTGATGATTGTAACGACTAGTTCTTCAATTGAAAATATTCAATTTTTGTTGTTTATATTTCAACCGTTTGGAAAATATAATCAAAATCCTAAGAATATTCTAATGGAAAACTTGAAAATTTGCACTTTTGGTCCACTAAGTAATTTATTGGATTCTGAAATTGATCCAGTAACTCTCCAAATTTAGTCAATTTGGTCCAATTTTGATCCCGAATGCCGGATCCGATAGTTATTTGGTCCAAATTTGATCCAGTAATTCTTAAATTTTAGACTCGGTGGACCAATTTTGAACTAAATGGGCTAAAATGTTAAGAGTTACTGAACCAATTTTAGATCCTAATAAGTAACTTGGCAAAAATGGAAACATTTTAAATTAGTGGACTAAAACTGCAATTCTTCCATGAAAAACTCATCTCAGCGAAATATTTTCATTAGACTCCACTGAAAATTCCAACGAAAATAATATAGCGATAAAGGACTGAGCGGGAATCACCCGAAGGCAAACGGGAGGGACGTGGTGGTGCCATTGGTGAACTGAAGATTGACCATGTCGGCAACGAGCAAGCCAAGGGTCGAGGACTTGTCCACATACTTAATCGAGTAATCGCACCGCTTTGCGTTCGGAGAGTTCTTTATCACGGAAATCAATTCAACGGCTTTACACATTGCATTTGCTGCCCGGATTATTTGCTTAGGCTTGTAAGGAGCGCTAGGGGCCTGCAAGAAAGAGATAACAATTTAAAAGGACCGACGTGCAAATTTCTAAACGGAATCAATTCTGAAAACAAAAAATTGATAAAATTAGGTTACGTACACGATGGTTTTTCGCGTTTGGAACGTCACACTGAACCCACGTAAGATCACTGCCGGTGTCTATATCAAGAAAGTAGGGTTTCTTGTCTTTGCCAAGGCTTAATTTTACGGTATATAACCTATGTGCGAAAAAAACAACGATGTATAAGGAAATTTATAACTACGTAGCGAAATGCGAGTCGAGCGTGTAATAAGTACTATTGTAAGAATCGAATTTTTATGTTAAACATGAGCGTGTGTGAGTATCAAGTGCCTAACCCTTGAGGATAAACGTTTCCCGTGACCTGGAAACGTACGGATTTTGATGGGGCGGCGGAAGCAATACATGTCGAAAGGCACAACACTAATGCTTTCAAGTACATTATCCTTTGATACATATTGTTAATGAATAGTGAATAGTGATGGACTATTGCTAGTTTTAGTTTGATTTCTTGTGGCCTTTTTTAACTATATAAAGGATGGACAAGACTATCAAATTCTAACCTGAAACGGCGTTTAAAATGAAATGCAGAGTGTACCAAATGTAATTAGAGTGAAATGTGGCGTGAAATGCGAAGTTCATCTTACATTCCAACTCTAAAACAGTGCAAATTTGAAATTTCACTCTGCTTTAGACTGAAACAGAGTAAAAATAAATGTTTTGATGGGAAAAAGAAAAAAAAATACACAAAATGTGGTTTGGTCAGTGGAAACGTGAAGAAAAAATTGTATTAAAGAGGATAAATGTTGGACTCTAATTGCAATTATATTGTAATATATGATGGTGAAAATCATATTTCTTGACTTCATTGAAGATACTCGGGCATGATTGATGGTAACTTTGTAATATATTTTGTTTCTTCTCGCGCATGATTTGATTTAAGAAAATTGCATATTCTTGTGTTTTTTTGTCGTTGATAAGGGTGTAAATGGATTGAGCCGAGTCGAGCTCGAGCTTGAGTCCTTAACGAACAGGAACAGAGCTTGATTCGTTGACTTAACAAGCTTATAATCGAGTTCGAGCTAGGCTCATTTATTAATACTAGTAAAGTGCACGTGGTGGCGAATGCTTTTTGCGATTAAGTTTAGTAAAATTAATTAATTTATTTATAAACATTTCATTGCCGGAACAAAATAAAATGTAGAACAAAAATGTATTTTTTTTTTTTCAAAAATAACATAACGATGTACTAATATAAAAAGAATAAAATAACATATCACAACCCCAACAAAAATACATGAAAAATGAGTCAATAATTTTTTTTTTAAAAGAAAAGACACTAAATAACTAAATAAAGACATAATGTATATTATAAATCCATTAATTCTGTTATTTATTTATTTGATGATTCAAGAGTGATTTTCTTTCATTTTAGTTTTGACGTTCTCATAAAAAACATTTATACCCATTCGAGTTCTATACATCAATAGGCAAATTCTTTTTAATTCATTAGGCAAAAATTCTACTTTATTCAAACAATGAAAAATATTATGTCCAAATATATAGTCAAACTCTATGATTATGATCTTATAAATAGTTAATAACAATTAATGAGTATCTCTGTGAAATAATCAACCGCGTCATTAAAATTACTGATATTTTTTTTATTATTTTTTAAACTACTACATTATTCTCTTTCCATATAGATAAAATGACACCTCCCCATGGAGGCATCGCCCCACGGGGGCAAGAATGAGTTTCATTTCCAAATAAAAGTTGACATTTCTAAATCCTTTTATATTATAATACTCTTCGCAATCTGTGAACTTTATTATCACAAAATCATTATTAAAATATATATTATGTATTACATAGGTTTTTATTTTTTAATTATTTAAAAATTTAAAATTGATAATACAGGATCAATATTATGAGAATTTAAACGCCAGTAATAAAAAATGTAGTAATTATAAAAGACTTCTGTTTCTAGATGTTGATATTCATATTTCTCTAAAAAAAAATCAGACTTCTTTTTCCTCATTGCCTTAAAATTGTTTTATTTGTTTTTTATTGTATTCACAAATAATATTTTATTTTTTAAAAGAATTAGGGCATATTTATATGCATTGTTTAATTTTTTTACGCATTTTATATAATTATATTGTTATCAAAGTATCTTATTTATTAGGCTACAACTATAATCACATAACATAAAATATTATTTAATATTACTTATTTATTTATTTATAATATATATATATATATGTGTGTGTGTGTGATAAAATTGTACTTTTATATTGTTTGTAAGATTAAAAAAAGTTCACATTATTTCAATGTTTGATAAAACATTAACTAACTCATTTTTATATTCATTGAAAGTATATGTTACAACAATTATGGTATTCCCTTTCAAGGAGTAATGAATAATAGTTTAGCATACTACTCATTTATTTCTCTTTTTAATTCACATAATTAAAATTGACAATAGTTGTAAGTTTTACATCTATTTTTTATTTTTTTCGTAGTATGAATATTTCAAATCTATGTAAGGAAAATATACCACACGTTTATCTTATGTTATTTTATACTTAATAAAATTTATTTAACATGGATTTATAATCTATTTCGTGAGATACTTTTAGGTCCATTTATTATTTTAAATTGGCATTGACATATATATATATATATATTATTTTATATCGTTAGAAATAATTATAATATTTTTATTTTAATTACAATAAATTGTCACATCAAACATCATTGGAAAGAAATGATGTAATATATTACATATAAAAGGATAAGAAAAAAAAATATTAAGTATTTCGAAAGTCAAAAATTTAATGTTAGAAAGTAATGAAATATTTAACTAAAGAATTAATACTAATATCCCTATTTTGAATGAAAAAAATATTTATTATGTAGTTAAAAGTTCTAGTTAAAATAAATGTGCATCTTAGATGTGTTTTATATTTCTCATTAAGCAGCTCCAATAATGGATGACATTAATGAATTTTATAACTTTTTTTACCTTGGGATTGAATGCAAACTATAAGCTTGAGCATTGTAAAGTTTACTTTTTTTTTATTATAGAACATCATTCTTAACTCTTGTTTAGTTATTATAATACTAATAAAATAGGTAAGAACATTTAACCTAGATGTATCTTGTTTGTTTTGAAAAAATTACTAATTATCATAAAGTAAATTATAATTACATTGAATGTCTTATATATTCTATCATTATCAACAATTTTCATAATAAATAATTGCACCCAATATTATATATATAACACAAATTTTTTTATTGATTTAAGAGAAGTACCTTTGCTACAAGAAAATGATGAAATTCCAACGACAATTTCGATAAAAATATATTACAACCGAATTTCAATGACAGTTCTAACGAATATTTAAATGTTATTTCTCTCATTTGAATTATTTCAATGAAACTTATAACATAAATATTTTGTTGGAATCATGGGCAGATCCATTTTTTTTTTTGTACGGTCGACACATGGCCACTTCTCAAAACATATAGCATGATATATCTAACAAAAATTGTGGGAACATTTTTCATAGTTTTGTTCATACCCCCTATTCAGAAAATAAAATTAATAAAGATAAATAATGAATTAATTTGTGATTCAACCAATTATAATTTAATTCAGCTCATAACTTTATTAAAGTTGTAACATAAACACAGTATCACAACTAAAGAGAATATGATAAATCAAGAAATTACAATTTCACCCTTTTATTTTTTTTTTTTAATCTTGATGATAGCTTCTATTCTCTCTTTTGCAACATATTGCTTCTCTAACTTTTCTCAGGTCTTTCTTAACTAATGTATGTGGAATTATAGTTATATATTCATAATTTACAAATTCATCAATTATATTGTCGAGTCAACTACACCACAACATAAATTATTTGTTCATAAAAGTTTTAAAAAATATATTATTTTCAATGATTTTATTATGTTGAAGAAAAATTATGTTTTTTTATTAATTTATTTTAACTTATCGTGACTGTATTGACATTAAAAATGTATTATATGTGAGAAATATGACAAATTACTAAAGAAAATATGATAAATCTAGAAATTACAATTTCACCCTTTTAACTTTTTTTTTTTTTAAATCTTGATGATAGCATCTATTCTCTCTTTTGCAACATATTTTTTCTCTAACTTTTTTCATGTCTTTTTTAACTAATGTATGTGGAATTATAGTTATATATTAATAATTTTCAAATTCATCAATTATATTGTTGCGTCAACAATACCATAACATAAATTTTTTGTTCATAAAATTTTTAAGAAATATATTATTTTCAATGATTTTGTTATGTTGAAGAAAAACTATATTTTTTTGTTAATCTATTTTAACTTGCCGTGACTGTATTGATGTATTAAAAATGTATCACATGTGAGAAATATGACAAATTATAAATTGTAAAAGCATAACGTTAATTTGATGGTATAATGCCCCCTGTAAGAAATTATTTTGGATCAGCCACTGCAATTAGCTTTCCAATGAAACTTTCATTGAATTTTTTACAATTCCAATGGTTGTTTTTCCAACAGTTGAAATATTGTCCGAGAAAATTTTTAATGAAAAATCACACAACAATAAATAATAGTAATTGGAATTTTTAAATCAATTAAAATCTAATGTAATTTAACTTTATCCCTATTGGTATAGCCAATGAATTTTTTCAATGAAAGTTATACCAATAAAATATCCGTTGGAATTTTTAGTGGAATACCTTACGGTTGTTTTTTTCTTATTTATTTTTTATTGTATTCATTCTTTAACATTAAATTTTTATATGGTATTTTTTGTTATTTATTAATTACCTTTACAATTTTCCTATTAAAAATACAATAAACATATGGCTTTTTAGTCTATGTAATAATTTTTGTAGAAACCACTCATTATTTTATCTCAAGATTACCTATTAATTTCTTAATCGAGTATATTTCTTACATATTGATTATTAAATAATGAAAATATTTAGTATTGTATAAATGTAATATGATACTTGTATATTATATTTAAAAAACTAATAGCAAATAAAAAAGTTATTTAAAATTAGAACATTTAATTTTTATTTTTATTTTTGTAATTTTAAGTGTTCTAACCTAAATGGATAAAAGTACAAATAACTATTGTCTGTCACCTAAACCTTACACATAGAATTAATAATCACAAAAAATTAACAAATGTTTACAACTCAACTCGTTGAATTAATAATCACAAAAAATTAACAAATGTTTACAACTCAACTCGTTTATATGATAAATACAAGTTTTAAACGTTTTATATTTATTTTAATCAATTATAACACTTTTAATATTATTTATGAAATTTATTTATTTTTTACTTTATATTCTTCTTTCATATGTTTATATATATAACATTTATATTTGTTAAAAAAATCATAAAATAAATTATAAAACTTTTTGGCTCCTATGTCTTATACTCATTATATATCAATTTCGTACATTTTTGTGAAGAAAAACACTGCTTTATTATAATAATACAGATTGGATAGATGGATGACATTCATCATATTTTCATGCATTATGAGTGATATATTGTGATATTAGGCCTTGGTTATCGTGTGATTGTGCACCATTTTGTTTGATTTATTAATCTATGATAGAGGTGTTTTTGTCGTTGGTTTTGCAGGAAATATGCCCGGAAAAGCGTTGGAAATAGAATCGGGACGAA